AAGGGAGGGGTGTGGTGGGAGGAAACTATTTGGAAGCTTTGCTATGTATTGTTTTCCTTTGAATAGTACTTGATCATTTCGACAGTCTGGACAAACGCTTAACATTTGCGATATATAAGAAATGAAAAGTATTATGTTATGATATTTTCTGATACTAAGTATTGACATCCGTCGAATATCATAAGTCTGTACAACAAGTCTATTTAAAGGCAACATATCCTAGTTAAAAAATAGCTTGACAGTCCTTTGGAATTCTTTATGTTTAAGTTGCTCTGTATGCTGGATGGAATTGAGAGGGCTGCTATTTGCCTCAACTAAATGTTTGGGTTTTTAAACCAAGCCCTAGAAGATCGTAAAATCTTTAAGGGCAGAGGGCTTGATTTAACTTTGTATTTTTCCAAGGATCTCGTACTGTGCATCGTACCAGCTGGCATTAACAAATGTTTATTGACTAAACGGCTGTTAGGTGACGCAGCAGATAGATCATCAGGCCTAGAGTCAGGGAGACTCATCTTCCTGAGTTCAAACGTGGCCTCAGTCATTCTCATGAAGACTCAGACACTACTGAACAGCAACAAAACTGACTGAATGACTTCCTGCTTGAGTAAGAAGAAACAAGTCATATTCTTGGGGAAAAAATGAGAAAAGCATCAAGAATTATACAAAATCTTATTGACAGTATTATTATCCCTATTGTGAAAGAATTGCTTAAATCTCAAAAAAAAGTTTATGCTAATATTATCCTTTCATGTTCTATTACATTTGAGTAGTTAATTTTAATTAACTTATTTATCTCAAATTATTTTTGGAAGGAATTACTGTTACATTTAACTTGCTGAACATTCTTAGTTTAATGGATGTTAGTTAGTTAGTTCATCTCAGCTGTCAATGCCAGAATATTGAATAGATTTGGATTTGGATTTTCCTGTATTGGGACCCATTTGTAATACTGTTTTAACTGGCATATAAAGATGCCAAATTTACAGTGTCATTAAGAGGAAAATACAGAGTATACTAAGGATTAAGAGAGTATTGAGTATCATCAGTTAAGGATGCCTTGATTTCATTTTCTCTCCAAATAGATTTTTTTTCCTTCAAATTCTATGATTCTTTGGACATGCAGAAAAATATGACTGACTTGACTTTTGGCTCTTTCTAGCTATTTGCCACCTGTAGTTAACATTCATCAAAGCAGAATCAGAGTCATCAAGGCAACAGAAAAACACATACCATTCATATTTTGTCTCCTATAATTTAGCAAATCTCTAGGATTACCACTGGATTAGAAAATTTAGAGGTGACTAACAGATTGCCTAGTTCAATTGTCTCATTTTACAGATCGGGAACCTGATTTCCAGGCTAGTGGAATATTGTGCATATATTCCTAAGAGATACCACCAAAATCCACCTCTCATTTTTCTCTTCAATTGGAAACCAGTTTTGTGATTTCTGAAGTGAAAGCATTGCTCCATGACTGAATCCCTGTAGTTCTGGCCAAGGAAATGTATTTAGCAAAACAAGTTATCCATCACTACATGAATCCCAGATTATACTACAGGAGAGTAGCCTATGAACTATCACTGAAAAGATTTAAAGAAAGAAATGATCTAAGAGTTAATTTCTTGATATTCTTCAACCATTAACCAAAAAAAAATACTATATAACAAAGTACATCTGGGGAAAAAAAGTAAATTCTTGCAAAAAACCTTCATGACCTTATAAACAATAGTGCTGTCTTTACTACATTTGGAAAATTAGATTTTTTTTTTTGCTTCAAGTTTCTTTATATTGAACACAATTGCCCATTTTCTTTAAAATCATGTAAAAGTTTTAATGTATGCAGCACAGAATGGCCTATATGTGTTTTAACAGCAAGGAAGAGACTACACCATTTATTTATATTTTTCCACTGATGTCTGTTTGTTTCCAAGTACAACTCAAGGCATAACTTTAGTCTGAAAAGCACTATACAGTCTGGTTCCCTGGGGTTTTGTTTCTTTCCCAATATACTATCCAAGCAGTTAAGATGAAACGATATGTAACACATAGTGACAGTACATGGGGTTCCTAGGATAGGCCACTCTATTTCTGCTAACAAGCAACAGTTATACTGCAGGGAAGCATAAACTGGGAATTTTCCACTAATAGCTCATGTCTTTAGGACTTTTTCTTGAAGGGTTGTGGTCTTCTAAACTTCAAAAAATATTCTTTTTTTTTTCAAGCTGGCATTACCAGAATCAATTAGGTGCTACTCTTCTGCTTATGTTTTATTATTATTAATTTTATATATCTATTTTAAGTGTTTCAATCTGTAATTGAGCCCTGGAGCCCCTTGAGCAATTTTTTTTTTTTGCTGAGCAAGTAAATAAGCCACATTAGGCTAAATAATCTGGTAATAATTTTACTAAATAGAAGTCTAAATTAATAATTCAATATTGCATTTTTGCTTGCATAATGAAAGAGAAGGAAGTTTTTGAGTGAGTGAAAGATACTAAATATCATCTATTACTACTATATTTTAGAGAGACAATAAGATCCACTGTGGGACCATGACAGAGTCGAGTAGTCAGTTTTGCCTATTACATCTCAGTGTAAGAAATAGGAGTTTGGTAAAGGAACAGTATGAAGTTTCTGCTGCAGAATGCAATCTGTTTTTTGAAAACCCAGTGACTGTTACTGAAAACTTGTCACTACTGTGTGAAAGCCAACATTTGTTACATTTAATTTCTTTTGGGCACAACTTCCCCATCCACAAAGTTGGACTAGATTATCTCTAAGGCCATGATTCACTTTGGAGAAATGGCCTTAAGATGGAATTGCACCATAACTACTATATCATAGAAACCAATGCTATTAAAAGTTTCAGGAGATTGGTATCACAGCCAGGACAGACTGATAGATCTCTTCAACAAAAGTCCTGAGATAAAATGGCACCAATGCATAATGGATTCTTTGCCAAGACAATGAGGACAAACCAAGCCGTTATGACTGATGAAGCACATTGCTGTGAAAACACAACAGTTGTCATATGAGTCTGCCAGCAGGTAAAGTTCATTCTGTAATGAGATTAGGGCATTAAGGCTATTATATCATCACAGAAATTAGCCGCATCTTTTACCACAAATATATAGCAGTCTGTTCTTGCTGTGGTACCAGCCCACTGGAGATCTAAAACATCAGTTTGCAGGATCTAGCAGGTGAGAGGTAATTCCAATTTAAGGCCATTGCCCTCAATTGGATCACAGAATTAAAAGCTAGAAGGCACCTTGGGGACCATCTAGTCTAAAGTCCTCATTTTACAGTTGGGAAAATTTAGCCCTGGAGAAATTAAGTGATAAAACTCCTTACTGTCACACTTTGGGGACAAATTTTGAACAGCAATCTCTAATGATGATGTAGGAGAAGCAGAGTGGCATAGTGGACAGGGTGTTAGACTTGTACTTGAGGAAGACTTGGACTTATGTTGTACATCAAACACCTATTAGCTATGTAACAATGGGTAAATGAGGCAACCTTTCTATGCTTTAGTGTTCTTATGGAAAATAGTGATCATAATAGCACTTACCTCACAATGGTGTTGTGAGAATCAAACTAGGTAATAAAGTTTGCACTTTGCAAACCTTAAAATGTTTTATAAATTTGAGTCTTTGTTATTATCATCACCATTGTCATCATCAGTACCCAGATCAGCCCCGAAATTGGCACTGAGTTATATGTGTACTGCTGGGGAAAAGTGTCCAACACAAGGCAAGGATGAATCTTGGTGACTTGTAGCGTGATAGGTTATGACAGACAGAGGTAAATGTCAAAAAGACTAAATGTGAGTCAACAAGACCTGGGTTTGAATTCTTGCTTTGATACCACCTATGTAACTTTGTGCAAGTCAAATAATGTCATCTCTCTGGCCCTTGGTTTCCTTAACTTTAAAACAAAGGGGCTGGATGTGATGACCTCTAAGGTCCTTTCTAGTTCTAAATCTATGAGGTAAGATATTCTTCAAGTATTTTTTTTAATGCCTGACATTTCCCTCTCTCCATGCTAGTAAAAAAGATATTCATAACCTCTTTTTTTTTAAATGAGAAAAGAAATTCCTTATGACACGAAATCCTGTGAAATCTTAATTATATTAACAAGGCAGTACATTAGAATGGGGGTTGGAAAGAGAGGGGTTATAAGGTTAGCCCCATGGTGGGCTGAGATATCAAGGGCAACTGTGGGAGATAGTTAAGGGGGCCAGCCCTAGGCCCTAGGCAAGAGTTCTTAACCTGAGTTCTGTAAACTTTAAAAAAAATAGTTTGATAACTATGTTTCAATATCAGTTGTTTTCCTTCGTAAACTTACGCATTTTCTCTTGCTTATTAATAACATTATTCTGAGAAAGGGTCCAATAGGCTTCAAACTGCTAAAGGGGATCGATCCATGGCGCTCTAAAAAGGTGAAAAAACCTCTCTAGAGTCGGATCACCTATGATACTTACACCTGTGGGGTTGGAAGTTCCCATGGACAAGGAAGTCCTTGGTCCTCAGTTTCCTCACCCGTAAAACTGAGGAGACTGAACTAGATAACCTCAAAGAAAATATAGTAAAGGTCCCTTCCAGCCCTAGAGTTATGATGCTATGAACTAGGGCCATTACCTGGGCTTTCTTCTGCACCAAAAAGCTGGGGCAGGTTGTCCTTCCATCCGTCAACTCCGTGGAGGAGTGAATGGGCTTCTCCCTCCCCTCGCCAGCCCCCACCAGGCCCCTGGTCCGATACTCACTCACTGTCCGGGACAGCTTCACCTCCTGGTTTAGCCACTTGCACACTATGTCCGACATGGCTCCGCCCGCTCCCCTGGACAGCAAACACCTGCGGACTAGGGAGATCTGTTTGGCCGAGCCAGCCGCGTCCTCTTGTTGTTAGGGGCAACCAGGAGCGAAGGGCGCGTCTCCTAGCGAGGGCCTCGCGTCGCTAGGGGAGGAGGAGGATTCAAGCCCAAGGCGGCCGCAGGGGAGGGGTGCGCTCAGCCCTCGCTCTGGGGCCCGGGCAGCCTGAAAGGTGTGGCGCGCAGGCGCAGATGCCGCAGAGGGCAGCAGGTGAGTGAGAGGCAGTCCTCGGGATTGACTTAATTAAGGGTAATAGATAAAAGCATCAGAAAAATGCTGGGGGGAGAGGAGGGAAGCAGAAGAATTTGGAAGACAATGGAGGAGGGAGTCAGTTACAGAAAATATTTCCAAGTTAGAAAGAGGAGAAAGAAGTTAAAACTCCAAAACAGCTTTTAAAAGTCGAAAGAAAAGAAAAACAATACGTTTTTAAATTGGGAAAGTAAAAGAAAGTTTCACTTTGTCTTACACTTTTTCCCCCTATAGCTACCCTGTTATCTTTATAGAGGGAGTGAATAAAATCCCTTTTCATCCATTTTGTAAGTAATTTAAAATTGCATTAAAAATCAATTTGGAGTTTCCCTACAAACTACATCATTTTACAGATCAGGGAACTGAGTCCCGGAGAGGGTAAGGGACCCCTTGCTCAAAGCAGGGCTGTACTTGGAGTGAAAATCCAGATCTCTTTTAGACTCCTAATCCATCATTTTTTCACATGGCACCTAACTGCCTCTCAATTTTTAGAATTTAAAGATTACAAAAATTCTACAAAAACTGGTTTGCCTTCCATCCCACTCCCTTGCTCTTTTCTTCAGTGTCCCAAAACTCTTGTATATAGCAAACTATTAATATTCCCTGAAATTAGTCTGTGTGACCAGAGTGGAAGGATGCACACTCTTAACAGTCAACTTATTCTTTGGATTTATACAATATTTTAAAATACTTCTATAAGCTGTTACCAACCTGGGGTGCAATTTGGCCAAACCAGGGGTTTACAGCCTGCAGCCTTGAGGCCACATGAGGCCCTGGGCTAAACAACCTTCTTGTTTTGATTTTTTTTGTTAGTTTTTTTGTTTTGTTTGTTTGTTTTAGTATATTTTCTAAGTGCTCTTCATTTCTTCTCAGTGCAGAAAAACTACCTTCTTCCCTCATAACCATCCCCTCCCCCAGCCCACCCCCACACTCAAATCATTTTGTTCTTATTTAGGTGTAAAATCCAATAGGGTGATAAATCTGAAAATTGGCAGGTTAGCACCTTGTAAGGAGATAGATTTTTTTTTTTCTTCAGAGCTAGGAACAGTCTCAACACACCTACAATTTTGCAATCAGAGGCTTAAGTGGGTGGGAGATTGATAGATAGTTAGCTGAATAGATCCTAGTATGTTGAATTTTTTTTCCTTTAGAGTTAGACAACTTGGAAAGAATGTTAGATTATACATAACCACCAGTCCGGGGAAAATATCTCATAAAGTCTACAGCACACACTTCATCCCAAAACACATTGTAAAAGGTCATACATAATATGGAACTAGAAATGGCTTCAGCAACAATTCTGTTTTTTTAAATTTTTTCTTTGTTTTTCTTTGTTTTTATTTTTTTGTCTATTTATTTATTTTAATATAAATTTATTTGTAGTTTTCAACATTCATTTCCACAAGTTTTTGAGTTCCAAATTTTCAACCTGTCTCACCCTCCCCCCCACCCCAAGATGGCATGCATTCTGAATATCCCTTCCCCTAGTCTGTGCTCTTTTCTTTCTCTCCCCCCTTCTCTTATCCCCTTCCCCTTCTATTTTCCTGTAGGGCAGGATAGACTTCTGTACCCCATTTCCTGTATTTCTTATTTCCCGATAGCATGTGAAAACTTTTTTTTTAAACATATGTTTTTAAAACTTTAGGTTTCAAATTTTCTCTCTTTCTCCCTCCCCACCCACGCTCACTGAAAGGGCAAGCAACTCAATATAGATTGTACATGTGCAGTTATGCAAAACACTTCCATAGCAGACATGTTGTGAAAAATAACTCTATTTCCCTTAATCCTATTCTGCCCTCCCATTTATTCTATTCTTTCTTTTGACCCTGTTCCTCCTCAGAAGTATTTACTTCTGATTACACCCTTTTCCAATCTGCCCTCCTCTCTATCATCCCCCTGCTCTCTTGTCCCCTTCTCCCCTTATTTTCCTGTAGGGTAAGACAGATTTCCATACCCAATTGAATGTGTATGTTATTCCCTCCTTAAGCCAAATCCTATGAGAATAAGATTTACTCATTCCCTCTCATCTTCCCCTGCTTCCCTTCCACTGTAAGAGACTTTTCTTCTCTGTTTTTTTCTTTTTGAGATAATTTACCCCATTCTACCTCTCCCTTTCTTCTTCTCCGAGTACAATCCTCCCTCATCCGTTAATTTTATTCTCCAGATATGACCCCTTAATCTTCAACTCACCCTGTGCCATCTATCTATCTATCTGTCTGTCTGTCTATCTATCTATCTATCTATCTATCTATCTATCTAAATATATTTTTTTTCTCCAACTACCCTAATACTGACAAAGGTCTCATGAGTTATAAATATCATCTTTCCATGCAGGAATGTAAACAGTTCAATCTTAATAAGTCTCTTATGATTTCTCTTTCCTGTTTACCTCTTCATGTTCCACTTGAGTCCTGTATTTGAAAGTCAAATTTTCTATTCAGCTCTGGTCTTTTCATCAGGAATGCTTGAAAGTCCTCTATTTCACTGAATGACCATTTTTTCCCCTGAAGGATTATACTCAGTTTTGCTGGGTAGGTGATTCTTGGTTGTAATCCTATCTCCTTTGCCCTCCAGAATATTATATTCCATGCCCTGCGGTCCTTTAATGTAGAAGCTGCTAAATCTTGTGTTATCCTGATTGTGTTTCCACAGTACTTGAATTGTTTCCTTCTGGCAGCTTGTAATATTTTCTCCTTGACCTGGGAACTCTGGAATTTGGCTATAATATTCCTAGGAGTTTTCCTTTGGGGATCTCTTTCAGGAGGAGATCTGTGGATTCTTTCAATTTCTATTTTGCCCTCTGGTTCTACTATATCAGGGCAGTTTTCCTTGATAATTTCTTGAAAGATGATGTCTAGGCTCTTTTTTTGATCATGGCTTTCAATAGTCCAATAATTTTTAAATTCTCTCTCCTGGATCTATTTTCCAGGTCAGTTGTTTTTCCAATGAGATATTTCACATTGTTTTCTAATTGTTCATTCTTTTGGATTTGTTTTACGTGTCTTGATTTCTCATAAAGTCACTATCTTCCAATTGCTCTATTCTAATTTTTAAGGAAGTATTTTCTTCAGTAGTCTTTTGGACTTCCTTTTCCATTTGGCCATTTTTTCTCCTCATTGGCTTTTTGGACCTCTTTTGCCATTTGGGTTAGGCTATTTTTTAAGGTGTTAATTTCTTCAGTATTTTTTTGGGTCTCCTTTAGCAAGCTGTTGACTTGTTTTTCATGATTTTCTTGCATCACTCTCATTTCTCTTTCCAGTTTTTCCTCTGCTTCCCTTACTTGCTTCTCAAAATCCCTTTTGAGCTCTTCCAAGGCCTGGGACTGATTCATATTTTTCTTGGAGGCTTTGGATGTAGGAGCTTTGACTTTGTTGTCTTCTTCTGGTTGTATATTTTGATCTTCTTTTTCACCAAAGTAAGATAATATAGTCTGACTCTTTTTGTGCTGCTTGCTCATGATCCTGGCCAATTACTTGATTATTAAACTCTTTGTTAAGGTAAGAGTCTGCTTCCAATGTGGAGAGTGTACTGTCCCAAGCTTCAGGGGTTTGTACAGCTGTTTTCAGAGATACTTGTAGAGACCTGTAAATTTTCAGTTCTACCAAGGTGGTATGATAAGGGGTGAGGTGTTTACTCCTTTCCTGGCCTGTGACCACAAGTATTCCTTTCTGTCCCATAACTGTGAGGAGGGGTTCCTCTCCACAGCCACTACAAGCTCCACCATGCCAGTGCTGCTCCTCACCCCAGCACTGCTGCCCAGAACTGTGACCCAGATCCACACACGGGCAAAGGAAGAGATTCCTGCCTCAGCACTGGCAAAGAGATCCCTGCAGTCCCTCTCTGATCAGCCACTGGATTCCCCCTCAGTCTGTGGGTCAGAAGCTCAGGAAGCAGCTGCCCTCCCCCCCCGCCCAGGGCCAAGCTCTTGGGGAATGAAGCTGAAACCCCACCTTCCTTTCTCAGCACCAACAGAAACAGACTTTTCCCACCGACCTTCTAAGTTGTCTTTGGCATTTGTGGGTTGAGGAGTCTGGAAACCTCCACAGCTGCCCACAATTCAGTCCTCTGAGGCCTGCTTCAGGTTCAATGAGGCCTGTGCACCCATGCCGGGCTGCACTGTGCTCCCAGCCTGGCTCAATACACCTTTCTGATCAATCATCCATGTTGTCTTGGGCTGGAAATTTGTTTCACTCTGTCTTTTTGTGGGTTGTCACTGCTTTCACTCAGCCATCTTGGCTCCGCCCCCCTCTTCAGCAACACTTCTGTTTGTTATCAGGCTAGTGGTACATTCTAAATGATGACTGCAGCCACCCTGGGAAAAAGAGTTCCAAACTTTTAATTTTAGAAAACTATAAACTGGTGTATTGAAATAAATGTTTTCCAGATTGCTGAGAAAAGTGCCTTTCAGTAAAAAGTATGGATAACAGAGCACCAGTTTATATGCAGGCAGTGTGGTAAGAAATATCTGTTGACCCCTTGAGGCGTTGGCATGGTATTGACATGTTGACTTTTTATGAATATCAAGGTGAAAAGTTCTTTTTTTTAGAAGATTGCTTAAAACAAAGATATTCGCAGGCATATTAATCATCCTTAGTACCAAGGTTGTTGTCTGCCTAGAAAGAATTAAACTAATTTATTTTGTAGCAGCCAGGGAATATATCACAGGTGTTATCCCGGCAACCCCTGGGGGCCCTAAGGACATGGTGACTCAGCATTTGGGAACATAAAAGATGATGAACTTCGTGGCAATTTCTGGCCATGTGGTAGCCTAGCACAGAACTTTGGGAGCTTCGGATTGATGAAGTGATGCTTTTATTGTCCACTTATCCAGAGGTGCTGGTGATTCTGCTTTTCAAAGGAGAGCTAGCCATCTGGATGGGACATTTTTGCTTCTACTATATGGGCTAAATATTGTATACTCAGTCTGTAGACTGGCCTGGGGTTGTGGAGGGAAAGGGTGTGCTCTTTCATTCTACTCCAGCCTTCACTTCCCAACTAGGCCATCTTGAGCATAGGACCCTGTCCGTCTTGTCTGTGTGATGGGGATTGGTGCATACACAGAGCCCTTCTGATCACGTTTCTTCATGAAAAAGGAGAGAAGCCAGCTTCGGGGAGGGTTGCAATAACATGATGAAAATTCCTTGGAGCAGTGCTGAAGTATGTATAAAACATTTTCTCTGGTTCTGCACTGCTTACCTAGGGAAGGGTGACAGCCTATTTGACTGGCTTTCGTTACAGAAATGGAACTTGGACCACTTGCAAAAGGTCAGAAGCTTGACCATTTTTTTCTTTCTCTTGGCTGCCTTGCTCTTGATTTGACTCCTTTGCTTATGATAAAATCCAGTGAGAAGTAACTTTTAAGGTGAGAGGGCTTGGGCACTTCCCTCTGAGGCCAAGGTGTGGCTCTAAAAATGGGTCTTGGTGCTTGGCCTTTGGGTTGTTCTTTTCTGTTTTAGGTGAAGGAGTTAGAGTTTCCAAACTTGTGAGTTTTGATAAGTCAGCAGAGCACATGTCTGGGCTACTAGGTATCCCAGTGTCTGCCCATCCCAGAGTACTAGAATTTGGGATTTTCAGTTATATCAGTGTTACTACCCATCCAAGGAAGGAGTGACTTTGGGGATGTAGCCTATTGATAGCTGAGATTTAGACATGAATTTGGTAGAACCAGTGTTTTATAGGAATTGACCTAAGTTTAAACCCATTATCCCCAGAGATCCAGGTGAGTTAGGGCGGAATGTGCCACTGAGGGGTTGGGTGGAAGAATTTCAGTATTTTTTTCCTCAATTATATTTTTGAAATAGATGTCACTATGTAAAAGCTAGTTGACATTAAGTAGTTAAATGAACTGGGTATGATTGCTTCTCACAGGTAGGGAAGGACATAACTATTAAGGACTTGAGCCAATGGTTGTAGAGAAGAGACATTCAAAACCCCTTACTGTACCCCTAGAACACCATTAAGGGAGATGTAACCAGCTTGGCTCTAAGAGAATAAGCCAGACAGTACTTGCTTATATCTGCTTTGTATTTCGTTTCCTGAGTAGGTATTTGAACATCAACAGGTAGACTATAAAGTCAGTGATGGTGACATTTGGTATTCATGGATGTAGAAAAGCCACATTTTTGTTATCGTCCCAATGTCTCTAATACCTTCATCAGTGTGTGGTTGAAACATTCAGGTTGTTGGTCCTTTTGAGGGTGTTAGGTGTGTGTAATTTTAGATTTCTTAATGCCATCCAAAACTAACATTTCTTTAAGCAGTGTGCTTTCCGCTATCTATACTCATGTGAAAAATGCTTTAAATCACTATTGATTAGAGAAATGCAAATCAAAACAACTTTGAAGTACCACATCACACCTATCAGGTTGGCTAACATGACAAAACAGGAAAATGATAAATGTTGGAGAAGATATGGGAAAATTGGAACATTAATACATTGTTGGTAGAGTTGTGAATTGATCTAACCATTTTGGAGAACAATTTGGAACTATGCCCAAAGGGCTATAAAAATGTGCATACCCTTTCACCCTGCAATAGCACTTCTAGCACTGTATCCCAAAGAGATCATAAACATAGGAAAAGGACCCACATGTACAAAAATATTTATAGCAGCTCTTTTTGTGGTGGCAAAGAATTGGAAATTGAGGGGATGCCCATCAATTGGGGATTGGCTGAACAAGTTGTGGTATATGAATGTAATGGAATTCTATTGTGCTGTAAGAAATTATGAGCAAGCAGACTTCAGAAAAAACTTGGAAAGACTTGTATGGACTGATGCTGAGTGAATGAGCAGAACCAGAAGAATGTTGTACACAGTAACAGCCACATAGTGCGATGACTAACTTTGATAGACTTAGCTCTTCTCAGCAAAGCAAGGATCTAAGACATCTCCAAAAGTCTCATGATGGAAAACATTATCCATATCCAGAGAAAGAACTATGGAGTTTGAATGCAGATCGAAGCATACTATTTGTTCTTTTTTTTTCTTCTGTTTTGTTTTGTTTCCTCTTTCTTGTGGTTCCTCCTATTTGGTTCTAATTCTTCTTTACAACATGAATAATGTGAAAGTATGTTTCATAGGAATGTATATGTAGATCCTATATTAGATTGCATGCCGTCTTGGGGAGGAGGATGGGGAGGGAGGGGGAGAAAATTTAAAACTCAAAAGCTTGTGGTAGTGAATGTTGAAAACTAAAAATAAATTATAAAAAACAAACAGACAGACAAAAAGCAGTGTGCTTTCCAAGTCTCTACCTTGATCTTAAGAGCTGGAAGTTCATACACAGAGAAATACTTGACCCACAACACTTGGGCAGCCATTGAAGCTTCTAGAATAGACCTACTCTGGGTGAAACCATTCTTTCTCTCAGTATGAAAAGAGCAAATACCCAGTCATGGACCTTCTCTTACTTCCCTGAAGGCATAAATCACAGTCTATCTTGGAGAGGGTTTAGGTTTTAAAGAGATATCTACGCAACCCATGAGCCATATCTGTGCATTTAGATAACCCATGTGAATATGCCATCACTATCTTAAATAGAAACATATCTTATATACTTTGTCAAACTAAGCAGTTTACATATTTGAATAAAGGAAGAATATAAATTATATACAATAATTTCATAGAACTTCATTATTTCAAAAGGTCTGTGATTTCTTTGATGTGGATACGCCTTCCACTGATACACTTAGAAACCTTCCCAAGCCTTAGCTGAAGTTATAGTGGCCAAAAAAAAAAATCATCACCTTATGCTCAGCTTTCTGTAGATGAGCCTTCCTGAATATTACTATCCTGAATCACCTTATTGAGCTTATGTTTGAAGCCTTTCAAAATTGTAATGATATTAGAGACCTTGTGCTTCAATGACATAATCCTAGAAAAAAAACTAGGTCATTTCCATGTTGTAATGAAGCATGCCAGTAAACTTTGCTGAAAGAATGTCATAGAAATACTTGAAAATGGGCATTAAAAATGAGTTATACACAGATTGGTATCCCAATTAAAAGAAAAAAAAATTTAGTTATAAAGAAAGATAAGGGTCCTCCTACTGGTTTCTTTCTACCTATAGCATGGGCTGTTGGTATTTAATTTGCAACATTTATATGCTCTAAAGTAGTAGAAAGAGGGTCCAAAGAGCAGTCAGGAGACCTGAGTTCAAATCCCAACTCTGCCACTAACTTGTTTTAAGATTCCTTGCAAAGAATCTTAACTTTTCTGAATTTCAATTTTTGTATCTGAAAAAAGAGGGGTTTGAATTTAATTATCTCTAATATCCGTTTGTGGGGAGGTAGGTGGCACAGTGGATAGAGTGCCAGCCCTGGAGTCAGGAAGACTCTTCTTCCTGAATTCAAATCCAGCCTCAGACACTCACTAGCTGTGTGACCCTGGGCAAGTCATTTAACCCTGTTTGCCTGAGTTTCTTCATTTGTAAAATGAGCTGGAGAAGGAAATGGCAAACAACTCCAGGATCTTTGCCAAGAAAACCCCAAATGGGATCACAAAGAGTCAGACACAACTGAAACAACTGAGCAACAACAAAAAATGTCCCTTTTAGGTCTAGCATACTTTGGTTATTGAGGCCATTCACTATGAGCTCCATCTTCTTCCCTCTACATCATCTCATCACACTTGTGTCCATTCTTCCACTACTCCATCTTTCTTGAGAAGGAGACTCTCTACTCCTTACCAAGGCTAATTCTTCTACCCATTCAAGTGATCCATCTTGTCTCTTTCAACAGACATCCTCCTCCATCATCCCCACTCTATCACTTATTTTCAGTTTCTTCTTGTTTATTGCTTCATTCCCTACTGCCCACATACATGCCTATGTCTCTCCCAGGTCCTGAAAAAGTCCTCAGTTGATCCTTCTATCTCTGCTAACTATCATCCTATGTCTGTTCTGTCCTTTGTAGTTAAACTACTCGAAAAGGCCGTCTACAGTAGGCACCTCCACTTTCCTCTCACTCTCTTCTTAACCCCTTACAATCTGGCTTCAGACCTTATTGCACTGAAACTGTTCCCTGCAAAGTTACCAGTGCTTTCTCAATTGTCATATCCAGTTGCTTTTTCTCAATCTGACTGCTCCTTCTCTGTCCCCTTTGCTAGATCCTTTTCCAGATCACACACTCTAACCAAAGGTGTCCCTCAGGGGTCTGTCCTGGGCCCTTTTTTCTCCTCTCTCTATACTATTTCACTTGGTGATCTCATCAGCTCCCATGGATTTAATTACCATCTCTGGGATAGGGATTGAACCTATGATTTCATTGTTGTATGGAACTCTCAAATGAGGAAATATCTATCATAGCAGGTCAGCAACTTCTTTGAAACTCATCGTTTTAGACCAGAGCACCAAGAGATTAAGGGACTTGCCCAGGGTAATACAGCCAGTCTCACAGAGATTAGACTTGAACCCATATCATCTTGGCTCCAAGCACAGATCTTTACCCACTAATAATTATATTAATTAATATTTACATAGTATTATAAAATTTACAATTCTATATCAAGGATTATTTATTTTAAGTGAAGTTTTTCATTTAAAATCTAATGAGCATCAGTAAATGATCACTAAATATGTTTGAATTTTTACAGATTCATTAAAATTTTACATCTATTTCATTTCACATTCAAGTTCAAGCAGTTTCTACTACTAATACCTACCATTGTATTAAAGTGGTTTCCTTCTCAAAAATTCAAATGTAAATGTGATCTGTTTGTATGTTTACTCCAAAGATGGATATTGAAACACACTTATATCTGTTTATCTTTCAAAGTACTTCTAAGTATGTCTGAAGATATCATCAATAAATAAGATACAGAGCTAAAAAGGAATTCAGATGACATCAATGCCAACTCCCTTCCATTTCATTTATTCACTTATTTATCTATTTATGTATTTATTTATTTATTTGTTTGTTTGTTTGTTTGTTTGTTTGTTTATATAGCTGAAGAAGGGATTAGTGACTTGTCCAAGATAATAGAGCAAGAATGTTTGGTGCCTGAAGAAGTGGAATAGAGGGGCCCTGTTCTCCATTTCAGAGAATACACAAGTCTGCTAAACAAATGGCAGGAGAAACATTTTTGGATTGGCTGTTAAGCTGGAAACTGAAATAAGTAAGTCATGCTCTTTGCTCAGTGTCACACAGTTTTTAGGTGTCTGAGGCCAGAACTGAAGTCTGGAAGATAAATCATCCTCACTCCAGGCCTCGTACTCTATCCCTGTGCCACCTAGCTGTCCCTGCCAAGCATACATCTCCCTGTTTTATTCCTGATGATATTTATGACCAAAAGGTCATTAAAGCAGTTTTTTTTTAACTCTTGTTCTGTCTTCCAAAGTGCCTCAAATAATTTTGATCTGCAGGTGGCAGAAACCTTGGTTGCAAGAATGCCTTTTAAGGCAGTGTTTTGTTCTAATGAATTAAGTGCTTTTTGGTAAGCAACATACAATTAAGCAGAGAAGGATCTTACATTCTTTGCATCTTTCATCTTTTTCATTTTTGATCTCACTGGTGCCAGAAAAGGAAAGATGATCAAGGAAATATACAACTACTGAACTCTATGCGTGCTTTCTCATCTATATAAACATTTTGTGAGAATTACCTGCATATGCATAGAGGGCACCAGTGATGAAGATCTTGGTAAGGAACAGCAAACTTTCAGAAGTGATATTCTGTAGTAGATCATATGTTTACTATCACAATTCAGTAAGCCAACAAACATGTATTTATTAAATGTCTGTTATATGTCAGGTACTATGCTAGCTGCTACAGACACAAACACAAAGAATGAAAAAATCTGTACTCACCAGAAGCTTATGTTTAACCCAATCAAGCAAACAAGCATTTATCAATGCCTTCTATCTGCCAAGAATGAAACAAGGAAACATGCATTTATTAATGGCACTGTTGTTGTTCAGTTGTTTTCAGTCACGTCCAGCTCTTTGTTATCTCATTTGGGGTTTTCTTGGCAAAGATGCTCAAGTGGCTTGCCATTTCCTTCTCCAGCTCATTTTACAGTTGAGGAAACTGAGGCAAATAGAGTTAAGTGACTTGGCCAGGGTCATACAGCTAGGGAGTGTCTGAGACTGGATTTGAATTCAGAACGATGAGTTTTCCTGACTCCAGGGTTGGCACTCTATCCACTGAACCATCTGGCTGTCCCAATTAATGGCATACTATATACCAAGTACCATACTAAGTACTGGGGATAAATGTGAAAACATGAAAAAGTCCTGCGCTCAAGGAGTTTGTATTCCACTAGAGGGAGACATCATATTCACAGACAAATAAATATAACATATATACCAAACCCCCCCAAATCCTATGATGATTGGAAGAAACCAAATAACAACTGGGTGTGGGGAGATAATAAGGGAAGAGATCAGAAAGAACCTGGCATGTGAGCTAATGCAGGTGGAAGTGAGGAGGCAGAGCATTCTCAGCATAGAGGAGATCCTAAGCAAAGGCACAGGGATGAAAGATGATGTGTCATGGAAGGGAGATAGCAAACAGGAGAGTATATGGGGGAAGTCATCACCAAATCTAATGGCCTCTTCTTAATCCTAATCCCTCTTGATTTTTGTGCTGCATTTGATGCTGTTGACTACTTTCTCCTCTCTAGATTTTCAGAAAAATATCTCCTGGTTCTCTTCCTACCTTTCTGATAGCTCCTTCTCAGTCTCTTTTACTGATTCAGCTTCCATGTCATGCACACTAACAGAGTATAAACTAAAGCTCTGTCATGGGTGTCTAATTCTCTCTATGCTCTCTTTTAGTGAATTTATCTCCCATGGGTTCAATTATCTCCATAAAGATGAGTCCCAGATTCATATACCTTGTCCTAGTGTGGGATGAAGTCTTGCAACAACAAGTTCCTATTAGAAAAATTTTCAAATTCAGCATTTTTAAAACAGAACTCATTGTCTTCCCCTACAACCCTCCATTCTTGCAAATTTCTCTATTACTGTTGAAGACCTCACCATCTTTCCTGACACCCTACAATCTCAGGGTCATCCTCATCCTACACTTAGCCTACACATTCACTTAGGCACCTATCCTTGTCAATTCTATCTCCAAAACACCTTTTCTGTAAGTCCCTTCCTCTCCACTCATACACCCACCACCCTAGTTAAGGCTCTAATCTCTTCTCCCTTGGACTATTGAATCAGCTTTCTAACTATTCTCCCTGACTCAACTCTCTCCTCTCTACTCCATCTTCCATACAACTACCAAAGTAGTTTTCTTAAAGAGCAGATCGGATTATGTCACCCTTCCCAATTTAATAAATTCCAGTGGCTCCCAACTGCCTTGAGAATCAGTACAAACTCCTCTAATATTTAAAGCTCTCCCTATCTGATCTTTCCTATGTCTTCAGTCTTCTTACAGTCTCACTGATACACACATATTGTTCCATCTCCTATCATACTCCTTCCTCACCTCTGCCTCTTGGAATTCATGGTTTCCTTCAAGACTCAGCTTTATGCCAGCTTTATTTTTTAAAAACGATAATCACTGTTAATATAATCAATGACAGAACAGTTACATGAAGAGAGATAACTGAAACTCTAGCTTCTCTATAAAACTGGAAGAGAGTGGGGGCCAGAAAAAATCCATAATTATTGGTTTCTGAGTAGTTGTGTCACCTTATTGATGAATCCTTTACTAGTCCCCCCAAACTGCTGTGTATTCCCTCATTACCTTGTAACCAGCTGTGTGGAAGGATGGATTGGAACAGGAAGAGACTCAATACTGGGAAATCAATTAGGGGGCTATTGCAGTCTAGACATGAAATGATAAGGGGCTGGACTAAGGCACCAAGAGTACTAGAATAGAGAATAAGGGACCAGAGCTACAGTTTTTGAACAAATAAATCATGAAGTCTTAACAATTGATTGCACATAGATAAGTAGGTGAGATAGAGTGAGAGGTCTTTTTACATTAAAAAAAATCTTCATAAATAAATCATAAACCAAAAAATTTTAAATGAATTTGCTAATAGCTTTAACTTTTAAGACTTCTCCCAGATTAAATAATAGTTTGTGTGAGGGGTGGTAGAAAGAGATATCTGTGTTGCTGTTGGACTCTTATCTCCAATTAAATTGGGTGAGGGGAGATTGCTGTGGTTGAGGTAATGGTGGGAGAATGAAGGAGAAAATGTAAAAAAAAAAAGAATGATCTTTCTTTTCATCACTGACAAAGTGAAGAAAACAGAACGAGGAAAACAATATACAGAGAAACTAAATTAATGTAAATGGAAAGAACAACAATGAAACAATTGATCCTGAATCCTGCAGAAATTATAGTGACTAAGCTTGGCCCCAAAGAAGAGATATGAGAGAGATATGGTTCTTTGTAGATGTGGAAGTCAAACATTGGAACATAACATATAATTATAGACTTTTTAAATGTGTTGATTAGCTTTGCTGAAGTTTTGGGGGTTTTTTTCACTGTTTTTTGTTCTAAGTGGCTTTTTGGAGAGGGAGGGGGAAAGATCATTGGACAGTGTAAGAGACAGAAAAGCAAAAGCTACCCATGCAAATTTATTTTTAAAAATAGAATTAACTGGATTACTTTAAAAGTTGCATGATATTAAAAATGGAAGTGGGAAAATATTAATGACAGTAGGAAGGTTCATTGCATCTTTTAAATGCCAAGATCTGCTAGCCACCTCTCCCCCATATCCCCAAGTGTTCTCATTGTCGCCTTCTGTGAAGCCTCCCAGCCCACCTCACTTTGAAATTAGCTTCTGCTTAAGCAGGAAGAATGTAAATCTTTCTGTAACGGAAACCAAAGGCTTCCTCAATTGTGAAGATCTCTTGAATGTGCCACAGCAGGCAATAATTCATGTTCTTACATGCCTATAACTCTTTAGAGTTTCCAAAATGTCTTTGCATACTTCATCCTCGTTTGAAACTTCCAATAATCCTGTGAGGTCATCCAGCAAGCATTATTTATTCCTGTTTTTACAAATTAATGAAACTGAGGATTGAACAGTCACACAGACAGTAAGGAATAGAGCCAGCACTGTACACCAAACATTCTGATCCTATTCCAATGCTCTTTCTTTTCCAACGTCGGTATTTTCCTATCCAGCTTTAGAAGAATCAGTTTTTCAATCATCTGCCTTAGCTGTATCACCTAATTCTTTGCCTCTTTCTCCCAGATCTTGCTGCCCAGGTGTTTCCTGGTTAGATTTGTTAATGACTCCTGGCCCAATCCCTATTTCTTAGACCTGCCTTCCACATAATTATTTGTCTAAGTATGTGTTTGAAACTTCCCCTGTCCTGAATACCTGGCTTGCACCTACAGCTGAAACATAGTTTTGTTTTATTTTTGTTCACTTTCTCAGTACTTTTTCAAGTGGATATAGACTTAGTCTTCAGCCAGATAGACTTTTAGTCCCTGGTATTTAAGGAGAGAAATAACAATCCCTGGAAAAGTTCAGCTCCATTTCAGGACTCCTGAAGTTTATTGGTAATTTTTCATAGAAAGCCACAATCCTCTTATGGGCCGTATTTTTCAACCTGATATGTATTTATTTATGTGTGTACTATATCAAACTCAGTGAAATATTTAAATTGTTGACTTTGGAAAAAAATCCAATTTTGAATAAAATTATATAGTAACCAACTTTGTGTCTCATGCATAATGGTATCGTAATGGGTGATTGGGCCAGATGATTCAATGCTCATTTATCAAAGTTTTTTACCCTCTTTATAAGTAAAATACAATTTCATCTAGACTCTATTTTCCCACACTGGAACTAATAAAGATGCCAAATCAAATATGAAAACCTCCTCAACTTAGAGTCTTAGACCACAGATTTAGAGTTACAAGAGTTAGAAAGGATTTCAGATATCATCTAGTCTGACCTCCGCATTTTTACAGATGAGGAAACAGAGGTAAAGAGAGGTTGAATAACCTACCCAAAATAATATAGGTAGTAAGAAGCAGAGTCTGAAAACTCAGGTTCTTTGACTCCAGATCAGCATTCTTCCTACCAAACTGCTGTCTATTCCTTTTCATCTATTCTATTAATAGATAAAACTTATGAATGAGATTTGCCAGTTGTGCTGGCTACAAATGACTTACCTGTATGACATATGAAAGGTTCAA